GCCAAATTTACCACATTAAAGCACATTAATTTTAAAAAGGGTTATGTATGAGATTCACTAATAAATTGCTATTTTAGGAAACAGAATAAAATTGAATCGTTTAATAAAATGTGAAAATATTTACATAGAGTAAACAAAAATGAATTATAATATAATTTGAATATAAATTGAAATAATTAATTCATCCATTTCTCGAACCATTCATTCGTGCATTTCTTTAAACCTCAGTTGCATTGTTCGTCGTACGGCATCCCTATATGTCTCGCCTTCAAAAGTAATCACATTTTAGGTCAAACAGAATCATATAAATCGTTACCACTATTACATACCCGGAGCCGGACATACGGATCGCATTCCTAGTCCTATACCATCTGTTCTCTTCTCGACTTGAATGATATTTTTTGTTCCTAAAAATTAATTTTTATTTTAAAACCAATGAAATAGTTATATATTTTATATAAAAAGAGCCAAACCTTGGTTTGCTTTTCCCAATCCCGTTCCTTCAGTCTGTAAGGAGAGAACAAATTAAAGCTTGTGTTAAGTGAACAACAATTTGAATACTAACCCAACCCATGGCTTTCAACATTTTACTGCCAATATTATCGTTAGAAATAGGCGTTTGATGTGATTGTACGACAGTATCACTAGAAGAGCGCTCTTCTAATTCAGTTAAATATTTCGTCTTCATTTTATTGGTTTCAGGCGTTTCCGGTAATCCGTATTTCTTCCTCCTTTCTTTAGCCCTATCTCTATAACCAGCCTTTCAAACATACAATTTGTTTTAATACAAGTGTTTCAAATCACAAAATATAATGTGTAACAATTTGTACTTCTCTTTCAGTTCTCTCTAATTCTTCAATTTGTTCATCAGTTAATCTCTGGTGTTTTAAAGCATTCAAATTTGACTACAAATTAAATGTTTATATAATTAATAAACAAATTACAATTATAATAGGAATGTGTATCACTTTATGCAAGTCTGAGAGCTGTATGTGTTTAGTGAGCAGTTCTGATGTAGAGAATTGTCGTTTACATAGAAGACAGGCTAACTTTGCCCAATCGGTTAACCGCTTCTCCTCTGCTCTTATGATTTCATAAGCACTTAAACAGAAGTGATTCGTATTATCTGTGTTTGCCTTCAACTCGTGAGGAATCACTTGTTTAGGGAATGTGTCGAAGACAGAAGTGTCGGTCTCGGCATTTGACACCTGCTGTTCCAATACTGTGAAGCCCGCGTCAGCCGTACAACTTTGGACACTATCGCCAGTAACGGGCGGTTCGCTAGGAATCCAAGTACGAGACGTATCCTTCTTTTGGTTCAGAGTTTTGGCCCATTTCTCCATATCTTTAGCGATCTTTTTAGCGATTTTCACTTTATCTGATTTCGCANNNTTCACAGTATTGGAACAGCAGGTGTCAAATGCCGAGACCGACACTTCTGTCTTCGACACATTCCCTAAACAAGTGATTCCTCACGAGTTGAAGGCAAACACAGATAATACGAATCACTTCTGTTTAAGTGCTTATGAAATCATAAGAGCAGAGGAGAAGCGGTTAACCGATTGGACAAAGTTAGCCTGTCTTCTGTGTAAACGACAATTCTCTACATCAGAACTGCTCAATAAACACATACAGCTCTCAGACTTGCATAAAGTGATACACATTCCTATTATAATTGTAATTTGTTTATTAATTACATAAACTTTTAATTTGTAGTCAAATTTGAATGCTTTAAAACACCAGAGATTAACTGATGAACAAATCGAAGAATTAGAGAGAACTGAAAGAGAAGTAAAAATTGTTACACATTATATTTTGTGATTTGAAACACTTGTATTAAACAAATTGTATGTTTGAAAGGCTGGGTATAGAGATAGGGCTAAAGAAAGGAGGAAGAAATACGGATTACCGGAAACGCCTGAAACCAATAAAATGAAGACTAAATATTTAACTGAATTAGAAGAGCGCTCTTCTAGTGATACTGTCGTACAATCACATCAAACGCCTATTTCTAACGATAATATTGGCAGTAAAATGTTGAAAGCCATGGGTTGGGTTAGTATTCAAATTGTTGTTCACTTAACACGAGCTTTAATTTGTTCTCTCCATACAGACTGAAGGATCAGGATTGGGAAAAGCAAACCAAGGTTTGGCTCTTTTTATATCAAATATATAAATATTTCATTGGTTTTAAAATAAAAATTAATTTTTAGGAACAAAAAATATCATTCAAGTCGAGAGGAGAACAGATGGTATAGGACTAGGAATGCGATCCAATGTATGTCCGGCTCCGGGTATGTAATAGTGGTAACGATTTGTATGGTTCTGTTTGACCTAAAATGTGATTACTTTTGAAGGCGAGACATATAGGGATGCCGTCCGACGAACAATGCAACTGAGGTTTAAAGAAATGCACGAATGAATGGTTCGAGAAATGGATGAATTAATTATTTCAATTTATATTCAAATTATATTATAATTCATTTTTGTTTACTGTATGTAAATATTTTCACATTTTATTAAACGATTCAATTTTATTCTGTTTCCTAAAATAGCAATTTATTAGTGAATCTCATACATAACCCTTTTTAAAATTAATGTGCTTTAATGTGGTAAATTTGGCAATCATTCATCACTACATGTATTAATTTAATGCGGTTTTATATATGATCGATATTAATGTAATTAAAACTCCAATCAATGCAATCATTTGCAATTCTGTTGCAATTTTGCATATAATTTGAAACATTTGCTTAAATATTTTACGTCATATTAAATATTCATACGTTATCTGAATTTTACGGTATTTGATATCCCATTAATAGATAGTAATATATAGAAAAGTAATTTCAAATAAAAATAGTTTTTTACAGATAGTGTTATGTAAGACTGGATTTAGGATGAGATGTGGCACCGGATCTAAAAATAAATTTATATATTCGTTGCACATGTATTGTACAGACTCTCAAGTGAACAAATTTCAACAAACACTTTGGATAACATTAAAAGTCTATAATTCCGTCGTTTAGTTATTCATTGACTAAATCTTAGTTTTGATCGTTTATTAAGCAAAACACTAATCGATTGATTTGACATCAATTTTGCTGAACATTTCTAACTAAACAATTGATCAATAGTTAAAATATTTTAGCATTTGTTTATATATTTAATAAAATGTTCTCCAATTAAGTGATTCTTTAATGATTTATTTATGATAAGAATTTTATTTTATAAATATTAGTGAATAAATACTATATTTTATATATTATCTGGTCTTTCATTAATATTCAATTTGGGTTTAAAGTGAATTACATTATATCCAGTGTTTAAAGTGATAGTTAAAGTTTTGCTTTGATTGTCAACAAAATCGTCATAATATAAAGTTTGTTTCTCTACTATAATAGCAGCGATGAGTAGCGACAGGTACTCAAGAATAACACAAACCATGCAATCATCAGATATGGGATACAGAAGTGATTTTTCTGGGAAAACAAACTTAAGAAAAATAGGTCGTATGTATACCAGTCCTTCTCTCGATAGACTCAACTCCTTTGACAGATACAGAACTCCGACTCTTTCGCGACAGAAGAGTATTTATGACTTAAACACTTACGAACCGTCGGATCCTTTTCGCAGTTCCTCTCAAATCAGTCTTCGAAACTCGAGTTTTCGAAGAGCTAGAGATCCGATCACAAGTGTCTCAATTCCCAGATCGAGATACGCTCTCAATGGCAGCAATAGGTATTCAAGTCCTACAGTGAGATCACATCACTTGACTTCTCATACAATAGCAGACCCTTTGGCTATATTGGAAAGAAGGGATCAATTCTTTAGTCAATTGAATGCTATTTCTTCGCAAACACATACTCGAAGACCGAAACCCATTTTGAGCAATACCTACTCAAATGTGATGTCACATAAGTATCACTGGCCTATCACTACATCTCACGACAATTGGAGGGCGCGATTGCGAGAGCGGCCAAACATCTCGAACTTATCCACAAAATCTTTTAGATCAAAGTCTCCGCTATTGAGTTCAGGTGTAAATTCGAGGGCGTCTTCGACCACCTCTTCCACTAAATTGGAAGAAGCAGTCAATTCAGAGACGAGAGAGGGTTCGTGTGGTATAATTAGAAACCGTTATATAATAAAGTTCAGAGAAAGAGAGCAAAATTTAGGGCAAACAGCATCTCAGAGAAGATCATTAAATTGGAAGAAGCAGTCAATTCAGAGACGAGAGAGGGTTCGTGTGGTATAATTAGAAACCGTTATATAATAAAGTTCAGAGAAAGAGAGCAAAATTTAGGGCAAACAGCATCTCAGAGAAGATCATCGATAACATGGGATTTGCAAAAGAGTTTCACTACTGATGCTAAGGCTTCAGACAAACCGCCAATCAGTGAAGACTCGGAACAAAATCAAGTTTTCGAGAGCAGAGACGCAGAATCTATTGCTCTAAACGTCGAAAGTAAGCAAAAAGAGTCGGTCTGTGAAGTACTTAACAAATCGGATAATTTGGATGAAAATAAAAAAGAAATAAAAAACGAGGAAATAATAAAAGAGTTAAAAGTTGAGAACATCACAGATAAGAGTCTCTCAAATGAGTTGCAAACGAGATATAACGGCAGTCAACTGGTAATTGATATCATACCCATTCATACGGCCCATACAACCCATACAACCCATACAACTCACACAACCCATTCAGTTATGCCGGAACCAAATGGAGCGCTCATTCACTTCATTCAAAAACAAGAAGCTCTTCCTCTTAAGTCTTCTAAAGAACTTAATACTAAAACCACAGAAAAAAGTCCAAAAAAGAAAAAAGTTAAGAAAAAAGAGGGATTAAAAGGTAAATGAATTTATTATCACTTCAGAGAATTTATTATTATATTGTTTGCATACTTTTTTGAACGCCAGATAAAACAAAAGTAGAAACAAAAAGTGAAACTAAACAACAGGAAGAAGGAGTAAATAAAGAGAAAGTTGTGGAAAATGTGAATAATTCTACAAAAGTTTGCAAAGATATCAATGAGAATATTGTCGTTGAAAAGCCTTTAGCTGAGAGCAAAGTCTTGGATTTAAAGCCAAAACGAATCAAATTTAAGAAATACACTTTCGATGACTTCAATCTCATCAAAGTTCTCGGCAGAGGAAGCTTTGGAAAGGCATCACATTCTCAATCCATTCGTTCAATGCATCAGTTCTTCATTTCACTCTTTTTATCCCAAAGGTATTGTTGGCTGAACTCAAAGAACATTCGGTGTATTTTGCAATCAAATGTCTGAAAAAGCATTCAGTCATCGAAGACGACGACATCGAGAGTATTATGATTGAGAGAAAAGTGTTGGCCTACGGGAGCGCACATCCATTCATATGCAAACTGTTTTGCACATTTCAAACAGAGGTATATTCTGTAAACAAGTTTTGAATTTGTAAAAAACATTTAACTTACAAATGGTTTCACAGAATTATTTATGTTTTGCAATGGAGTGGTGCTGTGGAGGAGATCTCATGTTTCACGTCCAGAAAAGTGGCAAATTTGATGAAAACAAAGCCAGGTTTGTCTCACATATTACTAATTAGTATAGTATAACCAAGCTAATTTTTTAAGTTCTAAATGTGTGAGATTTATGCAGATAGCACTTAACATAAGTTATAATATAGTTTTTGTTCTAAATAAGGAAAATTAAAATGTTTATTAATCTTATATATTTTGTATATTTTATAATGTTAAAAATTATTGGAATTCATAAGATACAATAAAGAAAATATAAAATACAATATAAAATATGCTTGAAAAAATATAAACTATTAGTGAAGACTATTGTACTATTAATATATAGACTATCAAAGATTAATGTAATAATTAAATTTTGGAAACTTCTCTGAACTACAAACTAATTATTTGAAAATAGTCCTCGTTTTGAATTGAGATCATTTTGAGATATAAATCTTTATCCCTTTTCTCTAAATCTTAATTTAAATAATTATTATGTTTCAGTCTATAGTTCAGAATTATTTATGTTTTGCAATGGAGTGGTGCTGTGGAGGAGATCTCATGTTTCACGTCCAGAAAAGTGGCAAATTTGATGAAAACAAAGCCAGGTTTGTCTCACATATTACTAATTAGTATAGTACAAGCAAGCTAATTTTTCAAGTTCTAAATGTGTGAGATTTATGCAGATAGCACTTAACATAAGTTATAATATAGTTTTTGTTCTAAATAAGGAAAATTAAAATGTTTATTAATCTTATATTAAATAATGTATATTTTATAATGTTAAAAATTATTGGAATTCATAAGATACAATAAAGAAAATATAAAATACCATATAAAATATGTTTGAAAAATATAAACTATTAGTGAAGACTATTGTACAATTATATAGACTATCAAAGATTAATGTAATAATTAAATTTTGGAAACCTCTCTGAACTACAAACTAATTATTTGAAAATAGTCCTCGTTTTGAATTGAGATCATTTTGAGATATAAATCTTTATCCCTTTTCTCTAAATCTTAATTTAAATAATTATTATGTTTCAGTCTATAGTTTGCTCTCAACTCAGCCTTAAAATAGCATATATTGAAAAATGAGCAAAAAATGATAATACAATAAAATATCAATGATCTCAGCATTATTTGACACATTTTAGACAACATTTTTAACTGATAGCATTTATCACTTTTAATTTGTTATAGCATCAGCTTGATATAATATTGTATATTGTAAAAAACATGACTTGTTAATGACCCTGTTACAAATATACTACTTTTGCATAAAGAGGTTCATTGCGCCCACAATTTAAAGAGAATTTTTTTAATGTAATATATTCTTGTTTAACTAATAATTAAGTTTTATTGTTATACAAAATGAAAGTTAAAATTTTATTATTTTAAAATACTGTTCTTGGTTAAACGGGTTTGCATTTGTATACAATATTTTCAATAAGCTTATATTATAATACAATACGTAATGATTACAAAACTAAATTTTATAAAAATTATATTATTCTATAAATCTATACATATTGTGAATTATAAATAGAAATCTACAGAATTTTACCGTTAAAGTCTAAACTTGGTTTAGTTTATAAAGATTTTAATAGTGATTTAAACATGTTGATTATTTTAATTAATAATTATAATAATAGGACTAATAATATTAAGCAAGTACAGTATTATAATGTATTATTGAATTTCAAAAACAATAATAATAAGTATATCCTGACACGAGTTAGAATTATAATTATGGAAATGTTGCCAACTTTCTTGCAAACCGACCTCAATCTTCATGTTATGCAATGCTTGTCACAAATTAACTCTGAATTTAGATTTAGTTTTTTAGTTCTTTTATTTATATCTATTTATATTAATTTGTTTTCATATATTATATTAATTTCAAAAATGTTTTCATTAGGTTTTATGCTTCAGAAATTCTGTGCGCCGTTGAGTTCATGCACTCGAAGGGCATTGTCTACAGGTCTGTGAGATTTCATTACTTTTGCTTTCATTTGGACTTTTATTATTACTTTTATTTTAACAGGGATTTGAAATTAGATAACATTATGATCGATCAAAAGGTATCAAAACATATTATTATTTCAAAACAATCTTTATTAAATACAAAATGGTTAATTTTTAATTTTTATTTAAAGGGTCATTTAAGATTAGTTGATTTTGGGATGTGTCAGGGTATGCACTGTTAACTTGAGTCATTAACGATTTAAAAGTAGTCAACATATTGTTAACAAATGAATAAATTGCAGGAAAGATATATAGGGAGGAGTTGTTGCCGTCCAACTTCTGCGGAACCCCCGAATATATGGCGCCTGAGATAATCAAAGGCGTTAAATATAACCAATCGGTGGACTTTTGGTCGTTTGGCATATTGTTGTACGAAATGGTTTGCGGTTCGTCTCCTTTCCACGGAACTGATGAGGAAGAGCTGCTTTGGAATGTCTGTTACGAACAAATCAATTATCCCTTATATTTAAGCGAAAATATTAAAAATATATTGGTTTTGGTAAATATGAATACAGTATAATATTAGAATTTGACATTATTTTATATTATGTAAATCGAGATCATAAGTTACCAGTTATTGCTACCAGTTTTATCATTATTTCCATGTGATATACAACATCTTAATTGTGACTTTTATTCTATCCAATAATATTTTATATAATAAATTATAAATATCAGGATTTTACACACATTAACTCATTCATTAGGACTATACAGTATAGTGTGTTGTTCACAGATTTCGTCAAAACTTTTTATTAAGTATACAGATTTTAAAACTTTGTTTGATTTAAAACAGTTGCTAAACAAAAATGCTGAGCAACGGTTGGGAATGCCTATGTGTACGGCCGGACCCATACGGACACAACCATTCTTTAAAAGTGTTGAGTGGCATAAAGTGGAGAAATGTCTAATAAAGCCACCCTTCGTACCCGAACTCGTCAGTCACTATAATATTATTATTTCCATACATTTGATTAATGCATGCATTTATTTCAATTTAAACCAAATCAGTGCTCATCTTTTGATGTCTCATATTTTGACGTGTATTTCACTAAAGAAGAGCCAAAGTTGACACCAGTTTGCGAGAAAATTACTCTTTCAATCGATCAAACATTGTTTGATGGCTTCAGTTATACCAACCATAATATGACCGATTGATTGAATGCTCCAATTACTTAATTATTTATCTGAATTGTACTTATATTTAAATACAAATCCTATTGAGTCAACTAAGACTAAGCCCTCAATAGGAAAATAGGCTTTGATTTTCTTTGTAAATATATTTTACACACTTTTGTTTTAAAACATTTTAATATTTTTCTGTTAATATTTTAAAATTAGTTCAAATTTTAATTTAATAAGTTATTAAAAATAAAATTACAATTAAATTATTTTTTCAGTTTACATATAAATACAAAATATATCTTTGATTTGGGATATAATCTATGAGTGATTCTAAAATAAACGAAATTGTTTTGATTTTTCAATTAAATCCAGTTATTTGTTTCATAATAATAATAATATTGTTTAATTGACTGTTTAATGTCATTATTATCTTATAATATATTTTATTATTAATTTTTAAAGCAATTTATTGACTTTTATATAAAGGTCATCAGGGTAAAACTACACTAACTACACTAGTGTATTCTAA